AAAAAAAAAAAAAAAAAAAAAAAAAAAAAAAAAAAAAAAAAAAAAAAAAAAAAAAAAAAAAAAAAAATAAAATAAAAAAAAAAAATAAAAAGAAAAAAAAAGAGTATAAAAAAAAGAGCAAAAAAAAACTAATCAAAGAAAAAAATAAGAAAAGAAACAAATAAAACAATAAAATAAGCAAAGTGACAAAAAAAAAAAGCAAAGCAAAACAGTAAAAAAAAACAAAATAATAAGAAACGCAAAGCAAAACAAAATAGTAAAGAAAAGCAAAGCAGTCAACGAAGAAAAACAAAGCAACAAAAAAGCAAAGTGCCAAAAGAATATTAAGCAGCAAAAGCAAAGCAGCAAAAAAACAAAGCATCAAAAGAAAGCAAAACAGCACAAATTAAATAAAAGTTAAAGCAAATATTAAAATAAAAGTTAAAACAAAAGTTAAAGCAAAAGTTAAAATGAAAAAAACAAACAATATCAATTGTTTATATATGATCAGCAATTTCAAAAATGATTGGCTGATCATATAGAGGTCATCATAGCAATAGGTTGCTATTTATAATTTTTTAAAATAAAATACTTATAATAGTTTATTTATAATTTTATTTTAATAGACAATCTATTTGTTATCTGAAGAGGTTCTGCAAATTTTATAAATAAATTTTATTATTGACTAAATGTGAAGATATTATATCTAAAACTTTTTTTTTACTAAGTAAATCATTCTTGGGTTTATAATAAAAGTTGTAAAGCTCATCAAGATGCATCTAATGGTGATAAAAATATTAAATATTTAAAAAAAATAATTTTTTTAAAGAAAATTTATATGTTACAAATGTTTTTTGAAGATTTTTTGAAAACTACCAGGCTAATTTTAATATTCTCATTACTATTAAATATGTCTTGATGAACTCTACAACTTTCATTATAAGGCCAAGAATAATTTACTTAGTAAGAAAAAAAGTTTTAGATATAATATCTTCACATTTACTAATTGAAGAATTTATATATAATTTATATATAAATCTTGTGTAATCTATATCATATAGCTCTTCAGATAACTGATAAATTATCTATTAAAGATAGGGTAAACATAAATTAATTTAATAGTAATTATATTACAAATCATATGATATTATATGATTTATATTGATTTGACTAATCAAAATTGTAAACAATAGAAATCTGACCAATAAGAATTGACAATTTTTGTATTATCTAAGTTTATTTTAATCTTCCTGAGTGAATTTAATAATATATAAAAGTAGATTTTTTAAATGATATAAGAACTAAAAATTTTATTATTATAAAAAAAAGTTTTAATCTATATTTTGGTAAAGTTTAGTTGTGGTTTTAAAAACTTTTATTAATAGTATATGCTTAATTTTTGTATAAAAAATTTTTAGTATATGAGATCATATGATAAATGATCTATATTTACTCTATCTTAAGTTATATTTTGTTATATTGTCTAATTATTATTAATGTTATTAATTTGTTATTTTATAGTTGAAGCTATAAGTATCTTTATCTAGCTAATTTTTAGTAATTAAAAATAATGTTATAAGATTTTCTAAATATATAATATAATATAAATACTAGTCACTGACTAGTGTTCTGACGTTCAGTTCAGCCTGAATTAAGTTCGGGCTGAATCTGAATTAAACCTGAATCTGAACAAAGAATTTTACAAATCTTTGAACTCGAGTCAAACTTGAACAGAATTGAAGTTGGTTCAGAGTTCGGTTTGGAGTTCACAAATATATTTGGATTTGGCATATATATTATCTGCTTCTAAGATTTAATTTACATTATCTGAACTTTGCATAATTTTAAAGTTTCAATAGATATCTCTAGCATCAGGCTGTTTTTTTGGATTTGAGTTTATATATTGCTTCGCCAATTCAACTTAGCAATTGGAAGTTTTAGGTGCAAATTCTGAATGCAATTCTTTGCAAATTTTTAGTGAAAATTTTAAATCAAATTCATTTCTATTAAAAAGTCTTTGTCTAGTTAACATTTTTGATATAATGATTCCAAAGCTATAAATATCAGCAGCTTGTGTAAGCTTTTGATCTAATAAATCCTCTGATGCTATATAAGGCATAACTCTATAAATATCACCTTCTGAACTTTCATTAAATTTTTTAGACAATTCTAGATCTAAGATATAAGATTACATATTTTCACCAATTCCTTTATCCTGCAAAATATTGTCACTATGAAAATCTGCATGAACATAGTTTACATGATGAATCATCTATAAATCATAAGAAACATCTTTAAGTAGCTTTAATTTAGTTTGCCAGGTAAGTTTACAAAAATTTTTTCTTAAAAACTTGTGAAAACATCCGTTATCAGTATATTAAAATATTATAAAGTATTTATTTTCACTTTTTTGAATCAATCCATATATTTTAAGTTTACTACCTTATAAGCTATATGTTATATAATTCTCAAACTTATAATTAAGTAAATAAATCAAATAAAATAAATTAGTTTATTTATTTAATAAATTATTGAATAAATAGATTTAATTTACTTTTTTAGAGAACTAGACAAGGTCTTGAGTATAACAGTGCTGGATGCTTTATACAATCTTTTATAAGAATAGTTGTCATCAATTTTATTTTTTTTCAATTTTTTGTATGCTATCCAATTAGGTTGCTGAATATACAGAGCTGAATCCTTCTTTGCTAATTACTTTAACATCAGATAATCGATCAAATAGAATCTATTCGATTGCATTTTCATATTTATAGATTCTAAATTAGAGCTTTTTTATACAATCATTAATATCTTTATTTATATTTGTCTGCCTTGTCATTTCTAAGTCAGGGTCGCATGATAAACACTATGCTTTATAAGTTATCTTCATTACAATAGACACATTTTCCATATTTAAAGTCGCTTTATAATCACAATATATAAATATTTTTATTTTATTTATTTATAAATGCTATTTTATACTTTATATCTAAATATAAATAATTTTTACTTACCGACTAAATTAATGTAAATAAAATGATTTGAAGCGTATTATGTCATAGTAATAGTAAATAAAGTAATTATAATCTTGATTTGTAAACTTGCTTTTTTAATTTCAATGATTAATAAATGTTCTTTATACTTATATACTGAATAAATGATTAATGCAAATGAAATGATTTTTGGGTATTATGTTATAGTAATGATAAATAAGTATTTATGATTTTGATTTGTGAACTTGCTTTTTTAATTCTAATGATTAATAAATGTTCTTTATACTCATGCATTGAATGAATGATTAATGTGAATGAAATGATTTTAAGTATTGTCATAGTAATAGTAAATAAGTATTTATAATCTTGATTTGTGAACTTGCTTTTTTAATTTCAATGATTAATAAATGTTTTTTATACTCACGTACTGAATGAATGATTAATGCAAATAAAATAATTTTCAGATATTACATTATAGTAATAGTAAATAAGTATTTATGATCTTGATTTGTGAACTTACTTTTTAATTCCAATGATTAATAAACATTCTTTATACTTACGACTAAATTAATATGAATAAAATGATTTTATATAATGCAAATAAGTATTTATGTTTTTGATTTATGAACTTGTTTTTAATTTTAAACAGCATTATTGTATTTAAGTAGATTTAAATCAAACTTAAATATATTTATGAACTTTCAAACCGAACCTGAACTAAACATGAACATACTCTAAAAGTTCAATCAAGTTTAATCAAGTTCAATCAAGTTCAGTTCGAAATTCGAACCGAACTTGAACTTAACTCAAGTCGGTTCGAGTTTGATTAGATTTGTAGGAATACTACTAGTCACATTTATTTTTTTAGGTTTATTGATTATTTACATCATAAATTAGATGATAAATAAATTTTAAAAGTTTAAAAAATATTTCTTCCTATATATAAATAATATAAAATTATTTTTTATATATTTACTATAAGTATTTAAAACTTGAATTTGTTATAATTGCAAAAGAGCTTAATATAATAAAAAATAATAAAATATTGGATTAATAGATTGTTTATAATTAAGAACTTGAATAATCAACTAAAGTTTAATTACAAACAAATTATCATCTAAAAAGCAAAATCAAAAAATAGTTGAGCTTGCAAAAAAAAACAATAAAGAAGAGCTATATAGAAATTAATGTGTTTATAATTCACTGTCATCTTTATAAATCAGATAACAAATATACTACATAATTTTCAAAACTTCTACTAACTAATAAGCATATTGATAAAAGCTAATAAAAGCTAAAAAATATAAAAATTATGACTGAAATAATATAGCTTTTTTAGATAAAAGTATATTTTATCTAAAACATCAACTAAAAAAAATATGACAGCTCTTTGACAAGCATAGTGTTTTTTGATTAATAAAAATATTTTGCAAAAATCTATGTAGAGTTGTTTTTCAACTTTTGAGTTTAGTAAATTGTTTCTCTATCAGAGAAACTTGAATACAAACTTTATAATTATTATATATAAAAAACTTTCTATCTTCTATTGATAAAATTTTTGATGAAGATTCTTTAGATTAGATATTTCAAAAAAATAATAATCTGAAACACTATTCAAAAATTATAAAAAAATAGAAGAAAAATTAATATTAAGGTACTTCTATAACTTTCAATATTATCAGATCTGAATTAATAAAAAATATTTGAAAATTATAAAAATTAAGCTTATAAAAAAATTTAGTTAATAAAGAAGTGAAAAAGTTTGATAGTAAAAGAATAAACTCAATTGCCAGATAGTCTAATAGCAAAATTAGTGGCAAATATAAATGATCATATAGAAGCTGTAATAGATAATAATAGTAATTATGTATTGCATTAAATATTATATATAGTTATATATTTTTAAATAAAAAAAAATTTTTTTACTTATCTGTTTGTTGCATTAAATTATATATAAGGATACTTATAACTCCAACTGTATTATTAATTTAGGTTTAATTATTTAGATAAGTATATAATTATATTTACAAATTCTTAAAATATATTATTATTAGAGCATAGCAACTTAGTGAAGTGGTAAAGTTGTTGCACCCTAAGTAGTAGAGTATAAAGTTCAATTCTTACAGAAGGCGAAAAATTAGATTTTAGAAAAACAGATTCGGCAACTATTGTCATGGCTGGGAAAACTCGAGACCTTGTAACTATGGTTATACCAAAATAAAAATTGGAAGGTTCTGAAGCATTTGTGTAATAAAGGAATTACACAAAGACATGCAAGCCGGTTTAGTCAGTGCAAATCCAAGATAAGTCTTTCGAAATCACAGAAAGCTACAGGGCCAATATAGTAGTAGAGTGCTTGCTTGGAAAGTCCCAAATAGAAAAGTAACACAGATCTTCGACGGTATTACATGCAGATTAATACTTGAAGACCCAGATAAACTGAACGGAACCAAAGTATTTGGCAAGACACTCCACCAACCAGGCTGTCAGAGGAGTAACCAGAAGAAAAGGACCCAATTGTGGGAACCAAGAGCAGATTATAACCCTTCTGGACCATCTGAATTGATAGTTTGAAATAGCTAGAAAACTAGGAAATGTCTGTAGATAGACTGGGTTTGGGTGAACTCTATAAGGGCAGCAGTAGGTAACTGTAATAGCCTCAGCTCACAAATACTTGTTCTCAAACTCAGCGTAAGTTACCGAAGAAGACTAGGCAATATAGGAATAGTGGATACCAGACTGCTCTAACAGGTGATACACTTAAGGATAAATTGGTTAACCATGCCAGTAGTCCTATAGGTGGATACAGATGATCTTGGAACTTGAACTGACTTATATATCGCATGTTTTGGGTGAGATTAGATGAATTGACATAGGAAACTCAGATCAGAAGATTTAATTGGGTAATTTAAGTAATAGTGGATTACAGGTACAGCATCTAATGTAGCATCTAGCACATAAGTAGATTACTTAATTAGGCAACCAAAAGGTGCAGATATGGCTAGAATGTATCCTCGTCAGAATGTACTTGTCTGGGGCCCCCTTGAAAAGGGCACCACATGACCCTAATATCTAATAAAAGCGATAAGCCGAAGAGGCTAACCTTGACTAATTTAAAAAATATATATATATATATATTATTATTTTCTAATTCAGGTAGTTTAATTTTTAATTCTTGTTAAATATTATTATTCATAGATTATTTGCTAGCCAAGTATCTACTTGCTTGGTTTTTAAAACATTTATATTAAAAGTAAATATTCAAAAAGCATGACTTATATATAATTACTATTAAATTAAATAGTAATTATATAGTTACTATACAGTTAGGGCAGTGACATTTATTACGTAATATTTTTGTTAAGAGGTTACCATAATACAGCTATTGACCCCTAAAAATATTACGTAATATCTGTTACTGCCCTTACTGCATATTAGAATATCTAGGTTTCTGTATAAAACTCCATAGATTATGTTTTTAAATAAAGGCAACAATGTAATAAAGATATAAAATTTTTTTTATAAAAAATGTTTATTAATTATTGTCCTATGTTTAGTATTTGAAGATATCATTTTTTTATTTTCATCTTGGTAAGCGCACTTAAGAAACTGTCCAAATCATTCAATTCATTATTTGATCCAAATAGTGTGTCCGAATCTAATCTATTTTCATCGTTCGTTTTACTTTTATTAAACCGATCATTCATTCCCGACCGAAAATCGAAATCAAAGTCCTGGGATGCTATGGTTTTTTGAAACGAACTGTTAGCATTCCCTGTCTCTCGATTCGATTCCGTTCTATTAACACCATTATTTTCAAACAAAATACGAATATCTTTGGGTATCGTATATCCAAAGCTTTTCATTTCTTCCAAAGCCAACTTTGCCCTTGAATCATTATGATTGACACATGTTTTAATAATTTTTTCATAAATAGTAGATGATGGTAAAATATTTTGTGCCTTCATCTCTTCCAGGTAAACAAATGCATCCTCGTAATCATAATCTGTACTACAACATAGGTATATCATACGACGATACGACTCACTATCAGGTTGTATGCCCGCACGTTGCATTTCAGTCCAGAACTGTTGTCCTAGTTCACGATGTTGTGCCGAAAAACATACTCCCAATAGCGCATTAAATGTATGAACATCTGGTTTAACTCCTAATTTTTCTGCTGACTTGTATGTCTCTACGGCACGATGTATATCCGGCTTGGTTCGATTCCCAAATTTATTCCCAGATCCGTTAACAAAGCGGCATGAATTAATTATGGTATTCAAAGCCAACACGTCAACCTTTTTACCATCTTTAACAAGTTCTTCTAGACTGTAATATGCTTTGTCAATGGATTCAACGTTTTTAGAGATGGCAGCTACAATCGGAAGTGCAGTCTTACTATTTGGCTTAACTCCAGCCGCAGCCATTACCGACAGCATGTCCATAGCTTGTTTAATGTCATTGTCATTAATGAAGGCTTCCAATAATGGTTCCAAATGCCATTTATCGAGGGGCACCTTGCGATTTTCAGTCAAATATACGAGTACCTGTGCCGCAAGGTGTGGTTTTCCAAACCTTGCAGCTACATGGAGAACGTCTATACAAGCACCTTCATCAAGATCTAAATAACGTTCTTCGATGATTTTTTCCCAACAATATATTAGACCATCAAGCTATAATATGGTTATGCAAAATGGTAAGCACCATATTAAAACAGAAAGTTAAATAAATAAAATTCACCCACGTAATATTGATCCGCGGAACATCTTAAAACATCATAATACATTGATGAATATGTCGGCAAATTTTCAGCTTCCATCTTCTTCAGTAAAGCAAATGCTTCTTCAGGCCATTCAAAATAACATATTTTTTTCATCAAGTTCTCATACATTGTGACTGTTGGTTGAATTCCCTTACGTTTCAAAATGTCTATGAAATCAATGCCTCGCTCAATTTCTCCATTAGCCAACAAAGCCGTAAGATAGTTATCATAAGTTACAATGGTTGGCTGAAGCCAATCTTTCTCGATCATGTCAAAAATAAATTCTCGCAAATGAGCAGGCTGGTTTCCCGGGGACATTATAATTGTCTGCATAAGTGATGAAAAAAAATTTTTAGAACAAATTTACAAAATTTTTCTGTGTGATAGTCAATAAAGTTACCTTTAACAAAGAATTGTATGTATCTATGTTTGGTTTTATTCCTGCTAACAACATGTCGTCTAATAATTTGAAAGATTCTAATACATCCCCATCATTCTGATATGCTGACAGCAATATGTTATACGTATTTACATCCGGCTTGATATTTCTTAATTTCATTTGCTCACATACATCTCTCATTGCAATAGTCCAATTATTTTTCTTATAACGCTCTAACCTGCGGTTGAAAGATTCTAAAGTGTTGTCAATTTCAAACAAAGGTTCTATTGGTCTAACCGGAATGTCATGAGCATTGTGTGTACTATAGCTCTTAGGTGAAACCCTTTTTACATGGTGACGAAAGACGAAACCTAAAGCCGGCGAAAGACGAAAAAGGAAACCCCGGCGAAACATCAAATCCCCTAGCAAAAAGATAAAACCTTCGAAAATGACGAAAAGTAAAGCCTGGTGAATTCTTAAATATCGATAAAAATTTTTAGCTGATTATCTTTTATCTATTGCTGTTAAGTCACATGAATATCTGATCTGCCAGTACAGCAGTAATACAATAGGATAAAACTATCAAAGTAAAAATAAAATGGTAAAATGTCTGCGCCTAGTCTCATGAGAAATAAAATACTCGTTTTAGGTCGTCGTGGTGTGGGGAAATTATCGATTATCAAACGTATGTAATACTTTTCTACATAATATTCCTTTGTTTAAACACGATTTAATCATTGCTAACAGAGAAAAAAAATATATAATTTTTTACATAAGAAATTTT